GTTTACTATTTTCTTTTTTGTTCTATTTTTTCGGGGAAGTTTTTGATGCTTCTCCCCAAATTTTCCCCGTTTTTCCCTTTATCCCGCTTTTTGTGTGCTATTACACCAGGGTTTCCACTTATCAAAAAGCTTTTTGCAAAGTCTGTGAAACCTGCATCTGTATTTTGTTTATTTCCCCTTTCCCCCAATTTCCCGGACCCTTTTTTCTTTGTGGTCCAGGAGCTGGGGACAGGGAGGAGCGACTGCTCTTAAACCCCCGTTTTTCCCGGGTTGTGTAATGATGGGTTTTTTTTTTTTTTTTGGATCTAGGTGGGTTTGGTATCTTGGGTTTTTTAGAACCCTCTCAAAGATTTTTATGATTTGGGATGTTTGTGTTAAACGGTTTTGAGTTTTTTTGCCCAAATTTCTTTTCTTTCCACCCTTTGGTAGAGTGGGGCTATGTCTGTTGTTTTTAGTGTGTGTGGGATGACTCCTGTATCCATGCTCCCTCTCCATAAAATGCTGAAGGCATGCGATAGGGACTTCTTGCAGTTCTTGATGAACACGGAGTTACATTCAAATTCAAATTCAAATTCAAAGTTTATTCTCTATAAGGATTACAATGCTGAGTTTACAGAATTTGGTTATTGTGTGGTTTACAGGTAGTAAAATAATGATTACAGAGTGTACCACTAGAACACCTAGCATGGCTAGGCATTTCTGGCAGACTTAGTTTAATTCTTTATTTTAAAATATTACAAAATTATGAGGTAAGTTGGTATTATGGCAAAGTGACTAAATACTAGTTTGTGAGTTTAGCAATGTGAATGCTTTTGTTTTGGCACAGTACATAGTTTCAGTATTGGAGTATCACAGGATTTATTATTTTAAGATTGAGATTAATGTTTCTGTTTATGGTCAAATGGGTGAGTGAGTGTAAATGTGAACCACCAGGTGGTATTCGTGTAGTTAGTTGACGGGGTGTATCAGGGAGATAAGATGTTTTCTAATGGTAGTTTTGAAGGTGATGAATGTGTCTGCAGTTGTAGAGTTCTCGGGTAGGGTGTTCCAGATTTTAGGGCCTCCGACATACATTGAATTTTTGTAAAGGTTTAGTCGGACACGGGGAATGTTGTAGAGATGTTTGTGTCTGGTGTTATGCCTGTGGGTTCTGTCACAACTATCAAGAAAGCGTTTTAGGTCAAGGTTGATATTGGAGTTTAAGGTCCTGTAGATGTAGACTGCACAATAGTAAGTGTGGATGTACTGAACAGGGAGTAAATTTAGATCTATGAAGAGTGGGGGGGAGGGGGTGTTGACAGGGATGGGATTTAGTGATTATTCTTACTGCAGCTTTTTGTTGGGTTATTATTGGCTTTAGGTGTGTTGCTGCAGTTGATCCCCAAGCACAAATAGCATAGGTGAGGTATGGATAAATAATTGAGTGGTATAGTGTGAGAAGGGCATTTTGCGGCACGTAGTATCGTATCTTGGAGAGGATCCCAACCGTTTTGGATACTTTTTTGGTTATGTGTTGTATATGGGTGCTGAAATTCAGGTTGTTGTCAAGGTATAGGCCTAGGAATTTGCCCTCAGTATGTCTGGTAATTAGAGTGTTGTCGATCTTAATGTTAATTTGTGCATCTCCTGCTCTGCTACCAAACATAATATAGTAGGTTTTGTCAGTGTTAAACGTAAGTTTATTGGCTGTCATCCAAGTCGATATTTTGATCAGCTCCTCGTTAACAATGGTGTTGAGGGTGGCAAGATTAGGGTGAGAGATGACATAAATCGTGTCGTCATCAAAGAGAATGGGTTTCAGGTGTTGGGATACGTTTGGAAGATCATTGATGTATATGAGGAAGAGCAGGGGACCAAGGACACTTCCCTGCGGAACTCCAGTATCAAGTGGCCGTGTTGTTGATGCTGTGTCTATAATGGTGACATACTGATACCTATTAGTAAGGTAAGATTTGAAATAAGCAAGCGCATGGCCTCTTATACCGTTATGGTCAAGTTTGTGGAGTAGGATGTCGTGGTCTACTGTGTCAAAAGCTTTTCTTAGATCAATAAAAATTCCTAGTGGATATTCCTTATTTTCCAATGCTGTGTAAAGCAGATCTAGCATTCTTATGATTGCATCATTAGTGCTTTTATTTTTCCTGAATCCAAATTGGCAGGGGTTGAGTATGTTTTGTGCTGTTATAAATATATATAGTCTCCTGTGCACGAGTTTCTCAAAGATTTTGGATAGCAATGGTAAGTTTGATATTGGCCTATAGTTGTTTAAGTCTGTAGGGTCACCACCTTTATGTATTGGTGTAACCCTTGCCATCTTGAGTAGTTTCGGGAAGGTGCTAGTTTCTAGTGACTTGTTAAAAAGTAATGAAATAGCATGTGAAAGGACATGGGCCGCTCGCTTGTACAGTAATGGTGGGACATGAGACAGATTCCTTGAGTTATTTTTAAGTGACTTTATAATCTCGGTGACTTCCGTGGGCTCAGTTGGTGCAAGATAGAAGGAATTTGGGAAATTCCCATCTAGGTATTCCCCAGCATGGGCATTGGTATGTGGGATTTTATTGGCGAGATTAGATCCTATGGTTGAGAAGAAGTCGTTTATCTTTTTAGCTGTGTCAGTGGGATGTAGTGGTGTTTCATTAGGTTTAGTTAGGACAATATTCTTGGCCTGGGCCTGGGGGAGAGTACATGTTCATCTCATTAATTGCCTCTTCAAAATCTTGTGGAGTTATAATAATATCCGAGAGTTTTTGGAAGGCCAAATTTTGGGTTTCGTTCATAAAAATAATCATTTGGATTGTCGACCCTGAGAGTGGGCAGTGAATCGCTGAACACTGAGTCATATTGGGACTTTAGTATCTCACTCTTTTCTTGGCTATCATCTGTGTATGTCCCATCCCACCTAAGCAGTGGCCCAATACTGGAAGTTGTTTTACCCTTAGATTTGGCATAAGAGAAGAAGTATTTTTTTTTTCAGTTTCCCTTATGGCTTTTAGTTCTTCCTGTGATTCTTGTCTCATATTAGATTCCTTCAACATAAGTTTGATATTTTCAATTTCATTAACTAGTGCTTCCCTTCGTATTTCAGATATATTGACCCCACTCAGCAGCTCTGTGACTCTTCGCCTTCGTCTGTATAGGGAATGTCTCTCTCTTTCTAGTTTACATCTTCTCTTTCTTTTTTTTAATGGAATGTGTCTTGAGCAAATCTCATGTGGCCCGGTGGTCTGGTGGCTAAAGCTCCCGCTTCACACACGGAGGGCCCGGGTTCGATTCCCGGCGGGTGGAAATTCCGACACGTTTCCTTACACCTATTGTCCTGTTCACCTAGCAGCAAATAGGTACCTGGGTGTTAGTCGACTGGTGTGGGTCGCATCCTGGGGGACAAGATTAAGGACCCCAATGGAAATAAGTTAGACAGTCCTCGATGACGCACTGACTTTCTTGGGTTATCCTGGGTGGCTAACCCTCCGGGGTTAAAAATCCGAACGAAATCTTATCTTATCTTATCAAGAACCATAGAATTAATTTTTCCAAGGCAAATGTTCGGATCCGTGTTGTTTAGGATATCTTCCCAGCTTGTTTCATTTAGGACATGGTTTACTTGATCCCATTGAATTTCGTGAAGAGACCTTCATGACTGCTTACGTTTTGCTGGTCCAGAGCCATGTGCATACATGTCTGGTGAGTGTGGAGTTGAAAGGTGAGGACTGGAACTGAGAGGTGAGTGTGGAGTTGACAGGTGGTGAGTGTGGAGTTGACAGGTGAGGACTGGAACTGAGAGGTGAGTGTGGAGTTGACAGGTGGTGAGAGTGGAGTTGATGGGTGGTGAGAGTGGAGTTGACGGATGGTGAGTGTGGAGATGACAGTTGGTGAGTGTGGAGTTGACAGGTGGTGAGAGTGGAGTTGACGGGTGGTGAGAGTGGAGTTGACGGGTGGTGAGTGTGGAGTTGACAGTTGGTGAGTGTGGAGTTGACAGGTAATGAGTGTGGAGTTGACGGGTGGTGAGTGTGGAGTTGACTGTTGATGGTGTGGAGTTGACAGGTAATGAGTGTGGAGTTGACGGGTGGTGAGTGTGGAGTTGACAGTTGGTGAGTGTGGAGTTGACAGTTGGTGAGTGTAGAGCTGACAGCTGGTGAGTGTGGAGTTGACAGTTGGTGAGTGTGGGGCTGACAGGTGGTGAGTGTGGAGATGACAGGTGGTGAGTGTGGAGATGACAGGTGGTGAGTGGGGAGATGACAGGTGGTGAGTGTGGATATGACAGGTGATGAGAGTGGAGATGACAGGTGGTGAGTGTGGAGATGACAGGTGGTGAGAGTGGAGATGACGGGTGGTGAGTGTGGAGATGACAGGCGGTGAGTGTGGAGATGACAGGCGGTGAGAGAGGAGATGACAGGTGATGAGAGTGGAGATGAGAGGTGGTGAGTGTGGGGATGACAGGTGGTGAGTGTGGAGATGACAGGTGGTGAGTGTGGAGATGACAGGCGGTGAGTGTGGAGATGACAGGTGGTGAGTGTGGGGATGACAGGTGGTGAGTGTGGAGATGACAGGTGGTGAGTGCGAAGATGACAGGTGGTGAGAGTGGAGATGACAGGTGGTGAGAGTGGAGATGACAGGTGGTGAGTGTGGAGATGACAGGTGGTGAGTGTGGGGATGACAGGTGGTGAGAGTGGAGATGACAGGTGGTGAGTGTGAAGATGACAGGTGGTGAGTGTGGAGATGACAGGTGGTGAGTGTGAAGATGACAGGTGGTGAGAGTGGAGATGACAGGTGGTGAGTGTGAAGATGACAGGTGGTGAGAGTGGAGATGACAGGTGGTGAGTGTGAAGATGACAGGTGGTGAGAGTGGAGATGACAGGTGGTGAGAGTGGAGATGACAGGTGGTGAGTGTGAAGATGAGAGGTGGTGAGTGTGAAGATGACAGGTGGTGAGTGTGGAGATGACAGGTGGTGAGTGATGGTGGTGGTGGTGCATGACGTTAGTCATCTGGTGGTGGTGTTGGTGGTGGTGCAGGTTTGAGGAGGGCGGAAGGATACACCACGTCCAGCCTGGAGCTTGTGTAGACACTTGTGAGTGTGTGAGTTACCAGTGAGGAGTGTGAGTGTAGTGAAGGAATATCAGCAGTAGCAGCAGGGGGTGAGGGAGGAGTGAGGTACAGCTCCTGGCACCACTACAAAGAACTACTTTGTTTATGATTGAAGCTGGTTGCTGGCACCACCAGCACGCCCCTCACTCTTAACACCCTCATGACTCTCTACCTCCTCAACTCTGGCTCCTTCTAACTACCGCTGTATCTTTAAGGTACGTCCGGCACTCTTATTGTGGCACTTAGTGCCATAGTTATATTGTGGTAGTGGCGCAGGTGGCACCTGGTGTGGGACCCCACACTCAACCACCACCAAGTTTAAAACTCAACCAGACCGCTGTTTTAACCTTAATATTGTATTATAATGTATGTGGGAGGTATATATTGTGGGAGGAATGTTGTGTGGGAGTAGATAATGTGGGAGTAGATAATGTGGGAGTATATAATGTGGGAGGGGAGGACTGTGGGGTGTACAACACTAACTTTTATCATGACATAATTTATCAGCTGTGATGTTTGTCAGGTTGTTACTGAACATTTTGAACTTGAAGAAGTAAGTTAAGTAACTTGATGCTCTACATCTTACCAGTGAGTGTGGTCTTAGTAGTGAGTGTGGTCTTAGTAGTGAGTGTGGTCTTAGTAGTGAGTGTGGTCTTAGTAGTGAGTGTGGTCTTAGTAGTGAGTGTGGTCTTACCAGTGAGTGTGGTCTTACCAGTGAGTGTGGTCTTACCAGTGAGTGTGGTCTTACCAGTGAGTGTGGTCTTACCAGTGAGTGTGGTCTTACCTGTGAGTGTGGTCTTACCAGTGTGTGTGGTCTTAACAGTGAGTGTGGTCTTACCAGTGAGTGTGGTCTTACCAGTGAGTGTGGTCTTACCAGTGAGTGTGGTCTTACCAGTGAGTGTGGTCTTACCTGTGAGTGTGGTCCCCTCAAGGAAGGTTCCTTGATGTTGGTGAGGGGCTCTTGATTTAGGGAATTGGATCTGTGCTCCAGTTCCCCGAATTAAGCCTGAATGCCTTCCACATCCCCCCCCCCAGGCGCTGTATAATCCTCCGGGTTTAGCGCTTCCCCTTGATTATAATAATAATAATAATGTGAGTGTGGTCTTACCAGTGAGTGTGGTCTTACCAGTGAGTGTGGTCTTACCAGTGAGTGTGTGGTCTTACCAGTGAGTGTGTGGTCTTACCAGTGAGTGTGTGGTCTTACCAGTGAGTGTGTGGTCTTACCAGTGAGTGTGTGGTCTTACCAGTGAATGTGTGGTCTTACCAGTGAATGTGTGGTCTTACCAGTGAATGTGTGGTCTTACCAGTGATGTCAGCATAGTTGCTGATCCCTGTGTTGTATAGCATATCATAGTATCATCCATGTGCTTTATATAGAAGACCTCTTAGGCCTGTGACTGTGTGACGTCACAGGCCTAAGGGGTCTTCTATATAAAGCACATGGATGATACTATGATATGCTATAGTGAATGTGTGGTCTTACCAGTGAATGTGTGGTCTTACCAGTGAATGTGTGGTCTTACCAGTGAGTGTGGTCTTACCAGTGAGTGTGTGGTCTTACCAGTGGGTGTGTGGTCTTACCAGTGAGTGTGTGGTCTTACCAGTGGGTGTGTGGTCATACCAGTGAATGTGTGGTCTTACCAGTGAGTGTGTGGTCATACCAGTGAATGTGTGGTCATACCAGTGAATGTGTGGTCTTACCAGTGAGTGTGTGGTCATACCAGTGAATGTGTGGTCATACCAGTGAATGTGTGGTCATACCAGTGAATGTGTGGTCTTACCAGTGAGTGTGTGGTCTTACCAGTGAGTGTAGTCTTACCAGTGAATGTGTGGTCTTACCAGTGTGTGTGGTCTTACCAGTGTGTGTGGTCTTACCAGTGAGTGTGTGGTCATACCAGTGAATGTGTGGTCATACCAGTGAATGTGTGGTTATACCAGTGAATGTGTGGTCATACCAGTGAATGTGTGTTCATACCAGTGAATGTGTGGTCTTACCAGTGAGTGTGTGGTCTTACCAGTGAGTGTAGTCTTACCAGTGAGTGTGGTCTTATCAGTGAATGTGTGGTCTTACCAGTGAGTGTGTGGTCTTATCAGTGAATGTGGTCTTACCAGTGGGTGTGTGGTCTTATCAGTGAGTGTGTGGTCTTACCAGTGAATGGTCTTACCAGTGAATGAATGGTCTTACCAGTGAATGAATGGTTTTACCAGTGAATGTGTGGTCTTACCAGTGAATGTGTGGTCTTATCAGTGAATGTGTGGTCTTACCAGTGAGTGTGGTCTTACCAGTGAGTGTGTGGTCTTACCAGTGAGTGTGTGGTCTTACCAGTGAGTGTGTGATCTTACCAGTGAGTGTGTGATCTTACCAGTGAGTGTGTGATCTTACCAGTGAATGTGTGGTCTTACCAGTGAATGAGTGGTCTTGCCAGTGAGTGGTCTTGTCAGTGAATGAGTGATCTTACCAATGAGTGGTCTTCCCAGTAAGTGACTGGTCTTACCAGTGAGTGGTCTTACCAGTGAATGAGTGAGTGATCTTACCAGTGAGTGATCTTACCAGTGAATGATCTTACCAGTGAATGAGTGAGTGATCTTACCAGTGAGTGATCTTACCAGTGAATGAGTGAGTGATCTTACCAGTGAGTGATCTTACCAGTGAGTGATCTTACCAGTGAATGAGTGAGTGATCTTACCAGTGAGTTATCTTGCCAGTGAATGAGTGAGTGGTCTTAACACTGATGCTGCTGCTGCTGCCTTCACTAGTTAGTATACACAACACTAAGTAACTTTATTAAGGTACAGGTACACATAGGTACACTGACCCAAATTAAAACTACTAAGCGACTCGACTGCATGGAAATCAGTAATGGTATACAATACTGATGACACTCTTCAGGTCTCTTGTTCTATCTAGACTGGAATATTGCTGCACACTAACAGCACCTTTCAAGGCAGGTGAAATTGTTGACCTAGAAAATGTACAGAGAACCTTCACGGCACACTTAACGGAGATAAAACACCTCAGTTTCTGGCAGCGCTTGAAGTTCTTGATCCTGGAACGCAGGCGGGAGAGATACATGATTATATACACCTGGAAAACCCTAGAGAGACTAGTACCAAACTTGCACACGAAAATCACTCGCTATGAAAGCAAAAGACTCGGCAGACGATGCAACTTCCCCCCCAATGAAAAGCAGGGGTGTCACTAGCATGTTAAGAGACAACACAGTAAGTGTCAGGGGCCCCAAGACTGTTCAACTGCCTCCCAGCATACATAAAGGGGATTACCAATAGACCCCTGGCTGTCTTCAAGCAAGCACTGGACAAGCACCTAAAGTCGGTACCTGACCAGCCGGGCTGTGGCTCGTACGTTGGATTGCATGCAGCCAGCAGTAACAGCCTGGTTGATCAGGCCCTGATTCACCATGAGGCTAGGTCACAGACCGGGCCACGGGGGCATTGACCCCCGGAACTCTCTCCAGGTAAACTCCAGGTATACATAATGTTAACATTTTTATAAATTGACAAGTTGATGAAAGTCGTGTGGAATATCCCCTGGCCTGGTAGTCGATGCTCTTGCCTCACACAGTGTGTATGTGGTTTGATCCCTGGCAAGGGTGGAAACACTGGGTGTGTTTCCTTACACATACTGTCTCCATTCACCTGGTAAGTAAGTAGGTACCTGGGTGTTAGTCAACTGGTGTGGATTGCATCCTGGGGGTCAAGATTGAGGATCTCATTGGAAATAAGACACAGTCCCTTTTGATGCACTGCCTTGGGTTATCCTGGGTGGCTAACCCTCTGGGGTTAAAAATTCAAACACAATCTTATCTTATAAGGTATGTTCAGATTTTTAACCCAGAAAGTTAGCCACCCAGGAGAGCCCAAGAAAGTCAGTGCATTATTGAGGACTATCTGTCTTATTTTCACTTGGGTCCTTTAGTCTTGTCCCCCAGGATGTAACCCACAACAGTTGACAAACACTCAGGTACATACATACTGCTAGGTAAAAAGGGACAGCAGGTGTAAGGAAACATAACCAACATGAAGCAAGTGCATTAACAACTGAGCCATTGTTGCTGGTTGGTGGTTTGTTGCTTTAATTGTAGTGCCTTCGATTCACATCTGAAGGACCTGAGTTTGACTTCAGATATAGGTAAAAATATTCGGTTTGATGATAATAATAATAATAATAATAATAATAATAATAATAATACATAATAGGTAGAAATAAGAATACAGTGGAACATTGGCTTATGAATGCCCCACCATGTGAACTTTTCAGGATGTGAACCGTTGTTCGGTCGATTTTTTGCTTCTGGATATGAATGAAATTTCAGGATGCATACCTCTCCCTCAAGGGAGGTTCCTTAAATAAATAAATAAATAATTTATTTATTTATTTGCAAAGGGTACAGTGTGTGTTTACATATAATTGGAGCAAAGATAACCACTGTCATGCTGAGGCATTTCAGGCATACTTAACCTAATACTGCACTCATAGACTACTTAAGTCTAGACAGGTGAAAAGTAGTAGTTACCAATATTTTGCTGATGATGGCACCAACTACTGGCAACCTTTTGAAGTTTCTCCTTACTGTTATTATTATTATTATTGTATTATAATAATAATAATAATAATTATTATTATTATTATTATTATTAGTACATATGTGGTGAGGGGCTCTTGATCTAGGGAATTGGATCTGTGTTCCAGTTCCCTAAATTAAGCCTAAGTACCTTCCATCCCCTCCTCCCCCAATCACTTCCCCATAACAATAATAATAATAATACGTACTAATAATAATGTAATAATAATGATAATACGTATAATAATAAGGTACTATAATAATATTTATAATAATAGATGGCTTCAAAAAGCTGTCACTAGATGGCAGTGAATACCACAACTATGTGGGAGCAGTTGTGGCCACCTCCACTTTTTATTTATTTATTTATTTGTCACATAATGACATATTTTATTCATTCTAGAGTATTTATCAGGTTTCTATGTTATTTATATTGTTTATTATGTCAGATCAATTGTGATAGATAAATAAGCCATAGAGTTGACATTAGAAATATATTGAAGTGTATTTTTCCTGCCTCTGAGAGCAGGAATTCCACTGGAATGGATTAATGGCTTTTCAGTTAATTTAAATGAAGAAAATTGACTCAGCATACAAACAAATCAGGATACGAACAAGGTCACGGAATGGAT